ACTGTCGTGCACGGGGCATCCGTCAGACCTTCACGCTTCCGGACTCACCGCAGCAAAATGGGATTGCTGAGCGCCGCATTGGCATGGTCATGGACGTCGCTCGTACGTCTATGATGCATGCGGCTGCCCCCCATTTTCTGTGGCCGTTTGCGGTGAGGTACGCGGCGCATCAGATCAACCTCCACCCCAGGGTCTCCAGGCCGGAGACCTCCCCAGCCTTGCTGTGGACGGGGAAGGTTGGCGATGCGTCGGCGTTCCGGGTCTGGGGATCTCGGGCGTTTGTCCGCGACCTGTCTGCGGACAAACTATCCCCTCGTGCTGCTCCTTGCGTCTTCCTGGGGTTCCCCCCTGACGCGCCTGGGTGGCAGTTTTACCACCCCACCTCTCGCCGTGTTCTGTCCTCCCAGGACGTCACGTTTGACGAGTCGGTCCCCTACTACCGCCTCTTCCCCTACCGCACTCCGTCCCTCCCCCCACCCCCACTCTTCCTGGTACCAGGTCCCCCCCAGGTAGACCCCCTCCCCCCTCAGGGTCCTGCCCCTTCAGGTGTGTCCCAGGTAGACGCAGTCGAGCCTGTCGAGGTCACTGGTGACTCTGGTGCTGCTGAGGGTGCTGAGGCTGGGGGTGCTGTACCTGGGGGTGCGGAGCCTAGGGGTGCTGGGCCTGGGGGTGCTACGTCTGGGGGTGCTGAGCCTAGGGGTGCTGAGCCTGGGGGTGCTGAGCCTAGGGGTGCTGAGCCTGGGGGTGCTGAGCCTAGGGGTGCTGAGCCTGGGGGTGCTGAGCCTAGGGGTGCTACGTCTGGGGGTGCTGAGCCTAGGGGTGCTACGCCTGGGGGTGCTGAGCCTGGAGGTGCTCCGCCTGGAGGTTCTCCGAGTGCTTCGTCTCGCCGGGAGCCACTTTCTCCACAGGAGCTGCGTGAGTGGTTTGCCCGGCGCTGGAGGCGTGCTGCTGGTGCTGGAGGTCCTTCGACTGCTGAGGGTGCTGCGGTCGCGGGTCCCAGAGGTGCTCGTCCTGGGTGCACTGGAGCTGGTGCTGCTGAGGGTGCTGGCGCTGAGACTACCGCTGGCAGTCCTACTGGGGGTGCTCCTGGTGCTGCTGGAGGTTCTGGAGCTACTGGTGGTGCTGCTGGAGCGGGTGCTCCTACTGGGGGTACTGGTGCTGTCCCTGCTGTTTCTGGCGTCGCTACGCGGCCTCGACCGTACTTCGTTCCACTCCTGCAGCAGGTTCTTGGTCTTCCGCCTTCTGCTGGTTCTCCTCCTCCCTTAGAGTGTCCACAGCCTGTCTCGTCCCAGCTACAGTTGCAGCCTACCTCCCCTTTGCCTGCTCCTTCTCCCTACACTAGTCCTACTGGAGGTCTGGCTGAGCGTCGTGAGCCTGCGTCTCGCCCTGCGTCGCCTGTCCGTGCTGCTCGCACTAGTGGTCGCGGTTCGCGTCAGCGTCCTCCTCCTGTCCCTGGCACGCACCGGATGTCTCTGCGTCCGTCCACTGCTCCTCTGCGTGCCCCTTTGCCTTCTCCTCCTGAGTCCTCTCTTCCTGCTCTTGCCGACCCGGAGTCGGACTCTCTTCGTGCTGCCAGTCCTACTGTCACGCGTCTCCTTGCTACTGTTGTCACTGACCCTTCTTTCGAGTCTACTGCTGCGTCTGCTCTAGTTACTGAGCTCGTCGACTTTGCTGCTCGCTGTCGCTTAGACTACGCTGCTAGTCTTGTCGCTGAGTCTGAGTCTGTCTGTCCTCCGTCCGTCGGGGGTGAGTGTGCCCTTGGCACGGACGTCCTTGAGGACAGGCAGGAGGAGTTCCAGTGTCTGGCAGCTGCCTCACCTCATCTCGTGTCCGTACTGCTTACCCCTGAGGGAGACCCGGATGCACTTGACATCCCGACTCCGCGCTCTTACGCGGAGGCGATAGAGGGTCCCTACTCCTCTCAGTGGCAGGCAGCTATGGATGCAGAGATGGCTTCCTGGAAGTCCACAGGCACCTACGTTGACGCTGTCCCCCCTCCTGGGGCGAACATCGTCAGTGGCATGTGGATCTTCAGGGTGAAGCGGCCGCCGGGTTCTCCGCCTGTCTTCAAGGCGCGTTACGTGGCTCGTGGCTTCAGTCAGCGGCAGGGAGTTGACTACTTTCAGACCTTCTCCCCCACCCCGAAGATGACCACTCTTCGGGTACTGCTGCACGTTGCTGCTCACCGTGACTACGAGCTGCACTCTCTTGACTTCAGCACAGCTTTCTTGCAGGGCAGCCTGCACGAGGAGATCTGGCTGCGTCGCCCACCTGGCTTCACTGGGTCTTTCCCTTCTGGTACCCAGTGGAGTCTCCGGCGTCCAGTCTACGGTCTCCGCGAGGCGCCACGTGAGTGGCACGACACACTGAGGACTACACTTGCGGCTCTTGGGTTTGCTCCTTCTACTGCCGACCCGTCGCTGTTTCTACGCACCGACACCTCTCTGCCGCCGTTCTACATCCTCGTGTACGTCGACGACTTGGTCTTTGCCACAGCTGACACTGCTGGACTCGCCTACGTGAAGTCCGAGCTGCAGAAGAGCCACACGTGCACAGACCTGGGTGAACTGCGCAGCTACCTTGGCTTGCAGATCACCCGGGACAGAGCACGCCGCACCATTACCCTGACTCAGTCACACATGGTGCAGCAGGTCCTTCAGCGCTTCGGCTTCACGTACTCCTCGCCTCAGGCCACTCCTCTGTCTACTCGCCACTCGCTCTCAGCTCTGCCTTCGGATGAGTCCGTAGAGTCGAGTGGCCCGTACCCAGAGCTTGTTGGCTGCCTCATGTACCTGATGACCTGCACACGACCTGACCTTGCATACACTCTTAGCATTCTGGCACGCTATGTTGCTCCTGGGAGACACAGACCAGAGCACATGGCTGCAGCGAAGAGGGTGTTGCGCTACTTGTGCAGTACGTCGGGCATGGGGCTAGTGCTTGGAGGGCGGAGTCCAGTGGTCCTCACTGGGCACGCGGACGCTTCTTGGGCCGACGACCAGGCTACGCAGCGGTCGTCACAGGGTTACACCTTCAGCCTTGGTTCCGGCTCTGTTTCGTGGCGGGCTACTCGCTCGTCTTCTGTTCTTGGCTCGAGTTGTGAGGCTGAGATCTACGCCGGGGCCATGGCTGCACAGGAGCTTCGCTGGCTCACCTACCTGCTGACCGACCTTGGAGAGCCGCCTCGTTCTCCTCCAGTCCTGTACGTAGACAACAAGGCCATGCTGGCCTTGTGTCGAGAGCAGCGACTGGAGCACAGAACAAAGCACATTGCTCTCCGCTACTTCCTTGCTCGTGAGCTACAGCAACGTGGTCAGTTGCGGCTTGCGTACGTGGCCTCTGAGGCCAACACTGCTGATGTCTTCACCAAGGCACTTCCGCCTTGTGATCATCAGCGCTTCTGCACTCAGCTGGGTCTTGTGCCCGTCTTGCCTCACTTGCTCTCCTCTTGATCTTGCCTGTACTCTCACATATATATATACCTGCTCTTGCTTGTCTAGCTTTATATATATGTGTGTACTCTTGCATGTGAACTGGCCGTGTGGCCTTGACCCTGTGCTCGGACTGTGTGGTGACTTTGTGATCCACCCTGAGCTTGCTTTGCTTTACTTTGCTTGACTGGTCTTGTGACCCCTTGTTCTCCCCCACTTTGCCTATGGGGGTGTGTCAGAACATTATAGCTTATGCTGTTGTGTAGGCTATAGTGGGGTATCCCATAGGGGGTACAACCAATTAGGGTTTCATATTTGTACTCACTTCATTTCATATTCCATTCATTCTTGTTCAAATCTTCTCATAACAGTCAAAAGCATACTGCAAACAGTATGACTTGATTGCACAAAAAGAAAACGTATGGTTTATCGGTAATAGATGATTAACAGTGTTCAAATTTCCAACATGCGCACATCATGGGATACTGTAGCATCCGAATTTTATTTTCATGTTTTATTTTAAAATCATGAAAAAAAAATCGGCCAAATCGATTGTAATAGGTTGCTTCGCAACCCAAAAAAAAAAAAAAAAAAAATCCAAGGTGACACGAGTTTCGATGGTGGCGTGGCATGCCAGCAGGGCAAGTGGAGCTGCCAAGAATCTCGCCAGGTCTGCCAGTCAGACGAGTCAAGACAACCGCTGACCTTTTCATTCGCTCTCGCAATAACGGAACGAAGCGAAACCCTAATGACCACTACAGAAACGATAAATGAATGCTTTCAGCATACGAAGTGCTACTAACTGATTTGAAAATGTGAATTATGGCACTAGCAACCTGGCGACATAGCGAACTAGTAGCTGCTCAGCCCGCGGTCTAGCTTCTCGCGACATAGAACTGTCCAGTAGTCTAGTGATAAGGTAGAGCTGACAGTACACAGTTTTATCGTGCTAACTTTAAGTTGACTGGAAAATCGCCAAGATGGCAGTAGCGTGTGATGCTCATAATTTGAATCCTACTCGGTCTAAAATCCGAATTAAGGGACATCATTCTCGCACCTCTTTCCCGCCCCATCCTTCTCCTACTCTTTACCATCGCACACCCCCTGTGCGACGCCGACGCCGCTCGCAAGAAGCACGAATGCGCAATTGACAGGAGACATCTGGGAGATAAACGGCAGATACGCTTTTCTCCCGCCCCGCTGCCTACTGCCGCCTTGTTGCTCCCCCCAACGAGTGGGCCTTTAATGGCTCCTTCCTCGGCCCTTCTCCCGTAACTGCTCTGCGACGTATTCACTAAGGATGGTCTAAAAAAGGAACGTCAATTTCACCCGGCCATCTGGATTCCGTATGAGTTGACTCAGTGGTAATAGCGCTAATACTGCTGCCCGACATTCTTAAGGCTTCGTATTGGCGGCGGAGAGTCGAGCGAGCGTCACGGGCGTCCTTAGCTGCTCCGCGAGTGCCGAGAAAGTCGTAGCGCCGCGTCGCCGCAGCTGCACGTTGCGAGGCAACGTCGCGAGCATCGCAGGCGTCGGACTGCACGGCGAGTAGTTGGCGATGGGGGTCAAATGGCGATCAGCATTGCCTTCCTCGCCGTCGCCTTCAGCGCTGGTGGGAGAATTGTCTTCTGCCTCCCTGCTCTTCTCCCGGTGCATGTTCGCCCTCCCCACCAATGTTTGCTCCTTATCCTCCTACGCGTTTCAAATATCCATTACCCCCTTTGATACATCTAAACTCCCTTCTCTCCTCCAACCCCCTCCTTTTCTCCCCTTTTCCCCTTTTTCTTCCGCCCCAGTCCACCCCCCCCTCCACTTCCTCATTTCTCCCCACTCCCTACCCCCATATGCTACATCTCACCCTCTCACAGGCTACGGCGAGTTGCTGAGAACTGGGTTCTCCACCATCGTCTTTGCCGCCGATCAGACGGCCCTAACCTTCGCCACCACTAGGTAGCCGAGCAGGTGAGTCCTGCTGAGAGCACAAACGGTGTCCTGCTGTGACGTATGGCTGGGTGCTGCATGGCTGGGTGGCTTACACGCATTGCTGGCCGTCATCTTCCCGCGAATGGCACGCGCACGCCGGTCCCAATCTGGACCGGTTCCCTTCCCCTGCCTTCGGTCGCAATACTACCCACAGTAGCATAGGTACCTTCCCCCGCTGTATGACTTGCAGCAGCACGCTACTCCGCACTGTGTCTGGACCGGTGGGAGTATCTGGACTCCACATGGCAGCAGCAGCAGGGGTTTCAGCAGTGCCAGCAATGATAGAAGCGGCAGTGGCAGCAGAGGCGGTGGCGACGACAGCCTGTCGCTGGCAGGGGTGAAGCACATCGTGGCTGAGGCGTGGCTGACATTGCCCTCTTCCTCAACCCACGCGCGCATGCTGCCGCTGCAGGCGCACGGTGCCTCTGCATGTCCATGGGCTCCTCATGCCTGCTGACGTGGCGGCCGTGTGGCGCGGGCCCATGGTGATGTCGGCGGTGGCGAAGCTTGTAAGGGGGACGGAGTGGGGGCGGCTGGACGTGTTTGTGGTGGACATGCCGCCCGGCATAGTGGATAGGTCCCCTGTCAGCTCAGCTTGAGCCAGCAGGTCCGGCTGTTAGGTGCGTGGTGGTGGACGGGACGGGATGGGATGGGATGGGATGGGATGGGATGGGATGGGATGGGATGGGATGGGATGGGATGGGATGGGATGGGATGGGATGGGATGGGTGGGGAGGGGAGGGGATGGGATGGGATGGGATGGGATGGGATGGGATGGGATGGGATGGGATGGGATGGGATGGGATGGGATGGGATGGGATGGGATGGGATGGGATGGGATGGGATGGGATGGGATGGGATGGGGGATGGGATGGGATGGGATGGGGGATGGGATGGGATGGGATGGGATGGGATGGGATGGGATGGGATGGGATGGGATGGGATGGGATGGGATGGGATGGGATGGGATGGGATGGGATGGGATGGGATGGGATGGGATGGGATGGGATGGGATGGGATGGGATGGGATGGGATGGGATGGGATGGGATGGGATGGGATGGGATGGGATGGGATGGGATGGGATGGGATGGGGCAGCGATTAGACGCTACGCTTCCTGCCCACGCTCCCAGCGCTGCTGGTGGTGTCCACACACACAGCAGCATCCGGGCCTCTGTGGATGCCCACACACCCACCCAGCACCATGCCCAGTGACTCCTACCCACTGGCCCATTCTCTTCTTTTGCTCTCATCTATCCACCCCTCCACTATCCCATTCGTCCACCCTTCCACCCTCCCACTCTTCCATTCATCCACCCATTCACCCTCCCACTCTTCCATTCATCCACCCATTCACCCTCCCACTCTTCCATTCATCCACCCATTCACCCTCCCACTCTTCCATTCATCCACCCATTCACCCTCCCACTCTTCCATTCATCCACCCATTCACCCTCCCACTCTTCCATTCATCCACCCATTCACCCTCCCACTCTTCCATTCATCCACCCATTCACCCTCCCACTCTTCCATTCATCCACCCATTCACCCTCCCACTCTTCCATTCATCCACCCATTCACCCTCCCACTCTTCCATTCATCCACCCATTCGCCCTCCCACTCTTCCATTCATCCACCCATTCACCCTCCAACTCTTCTATTCATCCACCCATGCACCCTCCCACTCTTCCATTCATCCACCCATTCACCCTCCCACTCTTCCATTCATCCACCCATTCACCCTCCCCAATTCGCCCTCCCATTCTTCCATTTGTCCACCCGTCTCACCTGTCCTGTCCACCCATCACCCCCATCCCCCCCACCCCCACCACAAAGCTTCCATCCACTGGCGGATCCGCTGAATTCGCTTGCAGCGCTCCAGCCTTCCACTTGCTCACCCACCCACCCGTCCACCCGTCCCCCTCACCAGGAGCGGTGGTGGTGTCGACACCGCAGGACCTCGCACTGATGGATGCGCGGTGTGGATGAGTTGCTGGTGGAGGTGGGTATTCAGCAGAAGTGGGGTCTGGACAATGCAGGGTGTTTTCGTTATCTCAAATGTTCCTCGGAAAGGTGGGGTGGGATGATGGCAAATGTGAGTTCTTGGCAGAAGTGGGCTCATGGCATTTGCAAGGTATCTTTTACGTTTCTGGGACATGCATGTTCCTAGCAGAGGTATGTTCCTGGGTTTCATGGCAAGGATGGTTTATGTTCCTGGGTTTCATGGCAAGGATGGTTTATGTTCCTGGGTTTCATGGCAAGGATGGTTTATTTTCCTGGGTTTCGTGGCAGAGAAGGTTTATGTCCCGTTGTGTTCATTGCGGCCACGCCACCATCCCCTCTGTCTTCCCCTCCACCCACTCCCTCCCTCCCCACCCAGTGGAGAGAAGAGAGTGAGGATCACTTGGCCAGCCGTCTCACCCCTTGCTATTATCTCTCCCTTTCCGTATTTCCTTCCACTTCCCTTACCATCCATTCACACCCTGCCCGCCACCTCCCACTTCCACTGCTCTATGGCCCCAGGCCCCATACCATCCCACCATGCTCCCTCCCCTCTCGCATCTCCCCCCCCTCTCCCCCTTCTCGTCTTCCATCTCCCCTCTCCGACCTCTCACCTTCCCGCTCCCCTCTCCGACCTCTCACCTTCCCTCTCCCCTCTCCGACCTCTCACCTTCCCTCTCCCCTCTCCCTTCTTCCCTCTCCCCTCTACCCTCTTCCTTCTCCCCTCTCCCCCTTCCACCACCCCACAGCGTGATTCTGAGCTGCATCATGGGGGCTGCACAGTGGGAGAAAAGGCGGTGGTGGGAGTGGGAGGGCAGTGCAGAGAGCTGTGCATGGCAGCATGAGTATTCCGCCCCGTGCCATCTTTCCCGTCTGCCAATCGCATTCTCCCATGCCGTGTCCCTCTCGTGCTTTGCCACTTCCCATGCCCTGCCTCCTCCTATGCACGACAGGTGCACGAGTGGACTCACCTCCCTCACCTTGCTGGAGGTGAGGCGCATTGCTGCTAATGGCGCGCCTGTTAGGTGTTTTCCCAAATGGAGGCTCGGGTTCCTCCTGCAACTGCCCAGCCATGCTTTACTTGCCTGCCATGGTATGAGACCTTGTTTAGGCTTTACAGCTGAGCGCATGCTCCTTCAATCCCACCCTGCATCGAGTTTCACCTTGTGCCTATCCATCACACCCACCCGTCACCCTTTGCTCAATACCCACCACTTTCTTCTCCTCACTCTCAACTGCCGGCACTCAGATGGGGGCAGGCAATGTCCCCTCTCTCACTCTCTCAACTGTCCTCATATCCGTCCGTCCCCTCTCTCAAAAAGTTCGTCTTCCCGCTCCTCCCACGTCCGGCAGGCAGGTGGGGGCAGGCGATGGTCTGCTGGTCTGCGAGCTGCAGCAGTGCTTGCAGGAGGAGGGTCTAAGCAGGCCAATAATGACGAGAAGGGGAAGGCAATGGAGGGGGATGGGGATGGGTGGTAGCAAGTGGAGTATGGTTGGATCAGCTAGTGGCAGATAGGGCGAACTGACGAGTGCTGGAGCTGCACCCGCCAGCAGCTCGTTCACTGTCGCGTTCAGATGATCTGTCGTGGAAGGATGAACATGCAGCAAGGTGGTGCAGTGTGGTGGTGCCGTGCACTGCAATACAATGCAGTGTAGAGCGGGTTTAGGGTGCACATCACCGAAGGGTGCCGGAGTGTGATCATCGGATTGATTTCCGCGCCGACTCTCTGAGCTTCCTTCCCACTCACTGATCCCGACTTCAGTGTGTGAGGTTCAAACACCGCCTAAGTGATTGTGCCTATGTACCGTATGTCCCTTACCAAGTGTACCGTATGTGCCAATGTTTTCTTGGTACAGTTCACATCATCGACAAAGCACAAACGGTCCTGATTGGTTTATTAGTACAAAGCAATTGGCATGTTGTCATAGCACCGGTAGCAGTATTGACATACGGTACCTTGAGACCCGCTCTCAACTGTCCAATAAGATTCACAGTAATTGTATTACCCCAAACCTTGAGACCCTCTCAACTGTAATTCTGTTGAACTCCCACTGTGTTCTCCCTCAATATCCTACAACTCACGAGGTTACTGCTTACCCCAGCCTTCCTGTCTCCTCTACCCTCTCCTCTCCCCTCCCTCCCCTCTCCTCTCATCTTCGCTCTTCCTTCCCTCAACGTCGCCACCATCCTTCCATATCCTCACCAATGCTTTCGCACCTATGCCTGGCACTGTCCTTGCACCTGCCCATGCAACTGACCTCACCAATCATCTTTCCACCATGCCTCCATAATTCCTTACCACCACTGTCACCACTACCCTCACAACCACTCTCCTTCCCGACCTTCATGCAAAGATCGCTGCTCCCATCCTTCCCCCTCTTGCTGCTGCCCTGCTGGGGCATGTGAGCTTGTGGGAGGGCCAGTGCGCCTTTTGGCACTGTCTGCTGCAATACTCCACCTTGCCACACCCACCGCACCTCCTCAGCTTCACTCCGCCACCCTCCACCCTCGCACACCCTGCAGCACCGCACACACGGCCTTGGACATCTGAAGAAGCAGCAGCGGCAGTAGCAGCACTGATGTGTATTGCAGTGGGGGGAGGAGGGGCAGTAGGACGAGAAGCCATAGCAGCAGCAGAATGGGTGGAAGCAGTAGCAGGGGCGGACATTGCAGCATGGGAGGCAGGGCGGTAGCACGGCTCCCCCAGCAGCATCTCTCGCAGACATGCCACCAGATTGACTCCACCCGGCCACGCCTTCAGATAAGCCGGCACCTTCCCCTTCTTTTTCTTCTTCTCACTGCTGTTGCTGCTGCTGCTGCTGCCACCCATCCACTCACAGTTGCTGCTCCCCCTGGCAGACTCATGTTGCCCTTGCAGCCCCTCACAGTACCTCGGGGTGATTGCTGCCTCAAGAATCCATGTGATGTCACACCCCTTAGCCGGTCCCTCCCGCTTCCTGCTGCCCCTGCACTCCTCACTCTCTCCCTCGCTTCCCTTGTTGAAACTCCACACAGCCATTGCTGCACAATACCACATCCGCACCTCCTCCCACACCCCACCGTTCTCCTGATCCACCTCACCATCCCAGAGGCCTTGCCCCTTCACCCTCCCACCTTTCCCCCTTTTCTCCACACCCTTTTTCCGCGCACCTGACTGCACTGCCTGCTCGTTTCCACTGCATTGCTGCTCCAACTCATAGCTTTCCAGAAGAGGGCGAGCGCACCACACGGCCATGTGAATGAGGAAGTACAGAGGCACCTGCTCCGCCCGTGTGAGCAGCACATGCAGGTTCACAGGCCTGGGCAGGCGTGCAGGGAGGTCCAGGCACGCAACCAGCTTGTCGAAGCCAGGGGAGGACGGCGGGAAGGCTGAGAGCACGCGGGAGAACAGGTGGCTCACGGGGCGGTAGGCGAAGTTGGCGATGAGAGCAGCCATGCACACGGATTGCATGAATTCTGCAGAGCAGGTGCTGCACTTGGTGCAGGCAGGAGGGTCCATGAGATACCCGGCAAACCCCACCAGGAAGTCCACGTCTGCCTCGCAGCGAACAATGGGAAGCTTCCTTCTGGGCGGCGGTAGAATTGTCGCCCTCAGCTCGGCGGCTTGAAGTGCGTCAGCTCTCCCACGCGCTCTGCTCTGTATGGCTTCCTCCCAAGCTCCTTGCCCTATTGCCTTCGAGACTCTCCTCCTTGCACTTCTGCTGCCCCCTCCTGCTTCAGCTATCCCACGCTCTATGCTTGGTTCAGCTTCCTCGCTACCTCCTTGGCCTACTGCATTAGATCCTTTTTCCTTTCCACGCCTGCTGCCCGTTCCTGCTTCAGATGTGTACTGAGGAGGTTCCTGGGTCAGTTTCTCAGCTGCTTCACCACGCTCCTCCACTATCCCAAGCCCAAAACACCTCTCCTTTTGGTTGACAGGAAACTTCACAGCAGCTTCGTCGCCCCCAGGCCACTCCTCCCACTCTAAAGGATCGCTGCTTCCCTCCAGAGGCTTGGGGATGGCACCAAACCTGACCAACAGCCTCGGAAGGTCCCGAAGTGGGTGGTGCATGGGCCGGACGTTGCTCCGAGGGCAGTCCTTGAAGCATCGTTTCTCCGAGATGGAATCTGAGCCGTAGACTCGGACCCACTGCAAGATGCAACCGACCCGATAGGTGAGTGCAGCAACAACAGAGCCTCTATTGACAGGCACATGTACAGCGTTGATATCAGAGCTTGCAGCAGCAGCAGCAGCAGCAGGCGGGGTTCTTCCTACATCTGCTGCTGCCACTCCATTCATCCCTATTGTCTGCTTCGAGCCATGCTGCAGCAGCCTCTTCCTGGCCACCTGAATAGCCGCACTCTCTACCTGCATCTTGCTCGCAGTGTTCCCATCAAGGAAGTACAGCCTTCCATCCTTCCAGTGCTCTGGTTTGGATAAAACTATGGTGACAGCAAGGGCGAAATCGGTCGCATCTACACCACTCACATGCATACCCCTCGGAGCACTGCTGCTCTTACTGCTGCTGCCAGACATGCTGACGCTGCTGCTGCTGTTTCTCCTCCCATTGTCACTGCCGCTACTGCCACCACTGCTGCTGCTGCTGCTGCTGCTGCTGCTGCTGCTGCTGCTGCTGCTGCTGCTGCTGCTGCTGCTGCTGCTGCTGCTGCTGTTGTTGCTGCTGCTGCTGCTGCCCCCCTCATTGCAGTGGATGCGCCTGAACTCCCTCCCTTCCCCCCCTCCATGCTCCAGAATCCAAGCCATCCCATCCACATACCTGTCCCACACACGCCCCTTCAGATGCTCCCTCCAACTCAAGTCCTTTCTAACCCTCCCGCACTTGCTAGCAACCCTATCAATCTGTACCTTGCTCTCTGCCTCTTTCTCTCCGTGTCTCCCATCATCCTTCCCATGTGACGCCTCCCATCTGCCCTTCCCCTCCCCATGCGTCTTCTCAGCAGCCTTCCCCTCAGCTCCCCCCTTCCGCTTCCCCTCCTTATCCACCTTCTCTTCAGTCTTTCCCCCAGCTCCCCCCCTCCCCTCTGCATGCACCTTCTCCAGCCCGCCTGACAGCAGGTGCTGCACAAAGAACCCAAACCCTTCCTGAAGATCAGCACTCTTCTTCACCCCCAGCACCTGCACCAGCATGGACGCAAAGTTGTCACTCTCCCTCTGCCTGCTCGCCCCCAGGTCAGTGGCAATTGCTGGCCAGGCCGACGAATGCAAGACCAAGTGTGCTTTGCATAAAGTCACAAGGCGGGGGGATCTTGCTACAAGCACAAGGAACGTTGAGAAGCTGACAGCACGGCGGTAGGCAGCCCAGCAGCTGCTGCAGCGCCAGCAGCATGACCACACTGTAGAAGCCAAAGGGGCATGAGGAGGAGCAGGAACAGTGGCAGCAACAGGGGCAGCAGAAGCAGGAGACGAGACATCAGCAGCTAGAGCAGCTGTTGTAGTATCCAAAATAGCAGGCAGGCGAGATCTGATCCTCCCCAGGTCCATGAGCACACCCACACGAGGCTCAGCCATCCACTCGAGAAACATCCCTTCTGCGCAAAGGCGAGGCGCCCTCTCTGCCTTCCACGCAAACTGCTCCTGAGAAAACATTTCATGATGCTGCTGCTGCTTGGGATCTGCTGCGGGGATGCAACGAGGCTGCAGATTGCGCAGGTGGAGACGCAAGTCCTCCAGGTTCTTTATGGCAAGTGCTCGCCGTGCTCGCGGACTCACAGCACGGTCAAAGCAGCACTCGCACAGATCCGCATCCCACCCATTCGTCACGTCCAAGTAGTGAACCATTTCCGCCCGACACAGCAGCTGAAGCGGCTTCGGACTTTCCTCGGCTCAAACTTTCTCTGCTGCCCCTCCGTTTGCCTGATCGGGCTGATCCGGTTCACCCTGGTCGATCTGGACTCCAAAGCAGGGTGCCCTCTGCCGCATCATAAGAGCCTTCACCCGCTCTTCCAACTTCTGAATTGTCAGCGACAGGCTTGAGTCTCTCACAGCATATTCCTCTTCCTCTTCCCCTTCCCCTTCCTCTTCCACTTCCTCTTCCCCTTCCTCTTCCCCTTCCTCTTCCCCTTCCTCTTCCCCTTCCTCTTCCACTTGCTCAACCGCTTGCTCTGCTGCGCCTCCGTTTGCCCGAGTGGACTGACCTAGTCGACCTCGCTGAAGTGTCTCCAGCCACTTATTCGTAGCATTCAGCTGCTCTTCCAACTTCAGAAGCTCTAACACGGCGTCTTCCTCTCCCTCTTCCTTTTCCTTGCTACTGCCAGCACCAGAAGCACCGGCCAGCAGCTCTGCTCCGCCAATTCCTGTCGCGGCTCCTCTCGTCGGCTTGTGCCTCTCGTCTTCCTTGGTGCGAGGCATGATGGGGTCCAGTCGGGTGAAATAACCAACAAACGTAGCAGCAGGATTAGACGTAGTGTGAGAGAACGAAGGACGACGCACATCAGTAGCAGATCCAACACCAGGAGCTTCCCCGAACTGCTCAGCTTTCAACTCGCTTTTATCCAAGGAAGACACGTTGATGGTTGAACCTGCACTGAGTTTGGCTTGCTCAACGGTCAAGTTAGGAAAACACAAACTTTGCTGCCCAAGAGCCACGAAACGAGCCTGTTACTTCAAATTCGTGAACGCTCACTCTGCCGCTTATCATGACCTAAATGCTGCTGACGTGTCTCGCATGGCAGGCATCAGTGGTGCAGGTGGGACTGAAACAATCGGCTGTAAACGGAAAATAAGAGTTCGTCAGGAGCAGCAGCAGTAAGAGTGACATTTACGTGCACTGCAGTCATTTAATTCCGAAGGTATTGTACCAAAGGAAGGATTTTGATCTGTGACGTATCCTGCAGACTCAACACTGCTAATTGTAAGGCACGCACGATCCAGTATTCGTCAGACTAGTTGGAATCTGAAGTTGACCTCGAAAGCCATGACAGGTGATGCTGGATTCAAATCAGATTGCTAGTTCTCGGTCGAGGGACAAACTTCTAATCCAAATCTGTCGGTTTCACTGGAACGGAAAGGCCTGTAACAGGGCTCTCTCGGTCGCTGAGTGAAGTCCAACGAGACTCTGTGATCGTTGAGTAAGCTGAAGCTGTGAGATCAATGAAATATTGTCATCAGGCAACGCTTTCCCAACCGTGCGACGCTTTTCGATTCATGCGACGCTGTGCGACGCGTTCCCATCGCAAAGGAGGCTCCTTCAATTGTGATGACCAAAGTTCTGGGGAAGAGTCAAACGATCCAATCACGTTTAGTCTCATGGGATAAACAAGTGCTTGACAGTTCGTATTGATCGCATAAGCTGCTGCCATCCCAGGACCGTCGATTGTTCGTCTGAACACGCTGAATATTGCCATTGAACGGGAAACCAAGTATAATGAAAAAGCGTGATCGGACCGTCCGTTTCCGCGCAAGACTAATCAGGTGTGAGATAATACTCGACGAGGAGCCTGTAGATGTAACCTAGATGGTCTCGAGACGACCTAGATTGTTGTTCTGGGACCAGCTCTGATGTTGTCATGGCTGGACTGGAACACGATCGCCTGATGAGAGAGACTGACTAAAACCCGAATTCAGGATAGCTGATTTCCAAATCCCAAGATCCTCCTCAACCGCAGAAAGTGCTGGCGAAGGTGTTGGGAATGAAAATTTCGGCAACTTGCGCGGGGCGAAAGCGAAACGAAGTGGCGAGGAACCACAGCGGTCGCCACACAAAATTCCTTGTCACTCGTTTGCGAGTCCAACTGAAAAGAGGTTTGTGAAGATTGACACTACCAAAACTAAAATTGCGAGGCAGCAATAGCGTCCTACAGAACAAGCCCTCTCACCCTCACCCAAAATTTATGCCCTACACCCCTCAGCCCTATCACTTCCCCCCCTGGTTTTCCTTTCTCCCATGCTGTCCGTATTCTTTCGATCAGGAAGTATTTTGTTGTTTCGTTTGGCGGCACACCAGTCGCATCAAGATCGCATTTCAGAGCCACATTTCAGGGTCGCATTTCAAGGCCGCCTTTCTGGCCCTGGCAAGGTGCAATAGGACCAGCGCATCGGGGGATGTAAAGCAGAAAGATGAGAAATCACCTTTCCTTTTACCCTAGGGCATCAGCAAACAACAGATAAGAGAGGAAGAACGGTAAAAATATTTGCGGCGATTTGCGCGGCGAGGCGGAGCGCGGCAAGCGCAGATGCTGTGCTGAGAAGCGCGCAACGGTGGAGAACTGGGAAATCGCTGAGGGGGCGGCGGGGGGGATGGGGGGGGAGGGGAGGGGGGGGAGTGGGTGCGGGGAAACGAGGGAGTCAGCGGAGGCGGAATGCATGCGCGGAGACGGAATGCATGCGCGGAGACGGAATGCATGCGCGGAGACGGAATGCATGCGCGGAGGCGGAATGCATGCGCGGAGACGGAATGCATGCGCGGAGACGGAATGCATGCGCGGAGACGGAATGCATGCGCGGAGGGCGGCAGGTCGACGTGGCGATGCGCGCGAGCGGCATAATGGGCGGAGGAGCGGGGAGCGCGGAGGAGCCGTCGTTGGAGCAGCTGATGGGCGTGAGCCGATGGTGCGTGCTGCGCGCCGTGGAGGTTGGCGTGACGACGAGACTGGCGGAGAAGCTCGGGCAGATGGAGGAGAGAAAGAGAGGAAGAGAGGGAGAGAATGAGAGAGGAAGAGAGGAGGGTGAGGGACGAAGAAAGGGAGAAAGTGAGAGAAGAAGAGAGGAGGGTGAGAGACGAGAGGAAGAGAGAGAGGAAGAGTGTGAGAGGTTGAGGGAGGAAGAGAGGAAGAGAGTAAGAGAGTAAGAGAGGAGGGGAGAGGTAGTACGAAACAGGATAAGATAGGAAGAGAGGAAGAGGGTGAGGAAGGAAGAGAGGAACAGAATGAGAGGGGAGTGGGAGAGGAAGAGGCGAATAAGAAGAGAGAGGGCGACAGGAAATCAAGTGAAGCTCTAGAAACGACGGCGAAGAGGTGCGAAGAGGAGCTGAAATCAGCGTTGAGTGAGGCGGCGAGGGCGGTGGCAGGGTTGGAGGCGAGCATTGATGAGAAGGTGACCAAGATACTGCTGCAAGCAGTGATGGTTCGCCACTCCGTGGAGGCGGAGACGCCATGTCAAGCGGCTGGTGCAGGCGCAAGCGAGCTCGCACGGCTCATGGCTGTGCTGCTGCACACCGCATAAGGGAGGTGAGTGCTGTCGTGCTTACCATCCCATGCCACACCTCCGATTGCTCCCATCCCGTTCCCCCATCCCGTTCCCCCATCCCGTTCCCCCATCCGTTCCCCCATCCCATTCCCCCATCGCGTTCCCCCATCCGTTTCCTCCATCCCGTTTCCCCATCCCGTTTCCCCATCCCGTTCCCCCATCCCGTTCCCCCATCCCGTTCCCCCATCCCATTCCCCCATCGCGTTCCCCCATCCGTTTCCCCCATCCCGTTCCCCTATCCCATTCCCCCATCCCATTCCCATCCCATTCCCCCATCGCGTTCTCCCAGTCGGTCCCCCATCACTCCCCCATCACTCCCCCATCACTCCCCCATCACTCCCCCATCACTCCCCCATTGCTCCCCCATCACTCCCCCATCACTCCCCCATTGCTCCCCCATCGCCCCCATCGCTCCCACATTGTCGCCCCCAATTCTCTTTATGCGGCAGCACCTGCTAGCCCTCTCGCCCGTGCAGGCAATCTCCCCCTCCCATCGCTACCGCACTCAGCCCCTTTCCACCCCTTCGCCTCTCCCATCCACTGCGTTTCTGGAAGCACCTGGCGACGCTTTCAGTCAGCCGATACAGAGGTGGCGAGAGGGGCAGTCCCTCTCATCACTTCCCATTATTCCCATTAGCCCTTCTCATCGTTACCGATTTTTCAATCCCCACGACCCCTCCCCATTTGTGATTTTCCTGACAGCACCTGCCATGCAGAGGCCATGAGAGGGGCAGACAGGCAGCCTGAATTTGTTTGGTGGGTGTGCTTGCCTGTCTATCTCCCCCCCTGCACCCCCACTGCAACCCCTCCTGTCCAAGGACAAGAACAGCGACGGCTCACCTCTCCCACCCCTTCTCTCTCCCTTCTTCCTCTGACCCCCTCCCCCTCCAACTCCCTTCTCCTTCCACAACCCAACAGCCCACTTTGCGACGTTGGCTCGTCTCTCAATCGCATGCAGCTGAATCACTCCTGCAAGGAACGTGCAGCTGAAGCAGTGGTTACGCCACCAGTATGGCAGAAAGAGCCGACCGCCCTCCTGGGCAACGTACGATTGTATGGCAGGTGTTGCACAAACCCTTTCAACCACCCTTCTTTCCCCCTTCAACCCTCCTCCGTCCTCCGCCCTCCTTCCCGTCCTCTCTCATGTTTCTTATGTAGTCATCGCACCCTCACAAGCACCTCATCCTCTCTCCCACATAACCTACACCAGTAGCCATCGCACCTTAGCTCATATCACCTATGTCCTTGTCTATTCCCGGCTTGCCCCCTCTCTATCCATCCCATCCGCCCTCCTTTCTCTTCCCCTTCACCCGCTTTCTCGTCCCCATCTTGATATCCTGATGGTGGCAGCAGAGAGGTGCCGAACGCAGTTCAACTGCCCGACACATTTGCACTCCCTAACAACACCACCAGCTGCAGCAGTAGCAGCCCCCTCTGGTCCTCCTCCCTTTGCATTCCATGCCCCTCCTCCTCCTGCCACTGCCAATTCTCCTGACTATCCCATACCTCATTCCATACCTCATCCCAAACCTCATCCCATACCTCATCCCATACCTCATCTCATACCTCATCCCATACCTCATCTCATACCTCATCCCATACCTCATCCCATACCTCATCCCATACCTCATACCAGACCTCATACCGCACTACACATCCCACTGCACTTTCGTTTCTGAATAATTTTCTTTTCCCTTCCCTTATTGCCCTGCCCTCTAATGTATGCCCTTCACCTATGTCTGCCCCTCACCCATGCCTGTCCACCCATGTCTGCCTTTCACCCACGCATGCCCTTCACTCATGAATGCCCTTCACCCATGCACGCCATTCACCCTTGTCTGCCCTTCACCCACGTCTGCCTGCCCTACCCATGTCTGCCCTACCCATGTCTGCCCTACCCATGCCTGCCCTACCCATGTCTGCCCTACCCATGTCTGCCCTACCCATGTCTGCCCTACCCATGTCTGCCCTACCCATGTCTGCCCTACCCATGTCTGCCCTACCCATGTCTGCCCTACCCATGTCTGCCCTACCCATGTCTGCCCTACCCATGTCTGCCCTACCCATGTCTGCCCTACCCATGTCTGCCCTACCCATGTCTGCCCTACCCATGTCTGCCCTACCCATGTCTGCCCTACCCATGTCTCCCCTACCCATGTCTGCCCTACCCATGTCTGCCCTACCCATGTCTGCCCTACCAATGTCTGCCCTACCCATGTCTGCCCTACCCATGTCTGCCCTACCCATGTCTGCCCTACCCATGTCTGCCCTACCCATGTCTGCCCTTCACCCACGTCTGCCTGCCCTACCCATGTCTGCCCTACCCATGTCTGCCCTACCCATGTCTGCCCTACCCATGTCTGCCCTACCCATGTCTGCCCTACCCATGTCTGCCCTACCCATTTCTGCCCTACCCATTTCTGCCCTACCCATGTCTGCCCTACCCATGTCTGCCCTACCCATGTCTGCCCTACCCATGTCTGCCCTACCCATGTCTGCCCTACCCATGTCTGCCCTACCCATGTCTGCCCTACCCATGTCTGCCCTACCCATGTCTGCCCTACCCATGTCTGCCCTACCCATGTCTGCCCTACCCATGTCTGCCCTACCCATTTCTGCCCTACCCATTTCTGCCCTACCCATGTCTGCCCTACCCATGTCTGCCCTACCCATTTCTGCCCTACCCATTTCTGCCCTACCCATGTCTGCCCTACCCATTTCTGCCCTTCACCCATGTCTGCGCTTCACCCATGCCAGCCTTCACTCTGTCCCAGCATAATGCCCAACATGTTTTTCCGACCTTTGTTTACGATGATTTAAGACGTCTCTTCCATCTCCTCCTTTCTGCCATTTGCCTTGTCTTCCCCCTTCTGCAGCATCCCCAGTATGTTTTTGCAGTCCATGTCAACGTGCATCTCTTGCTGCCCCGTCCCCTGTTTCCTCTTCACCATATCCTCATGGCAGGCTGGTGCATCAGTAGGCCAGCTGTGGCCTATCCCCTTCCCCATTCCCCCATCCCTCATCACCCCTCCCCCGTTCCCCCCCAGTGAACCTGGCAGTGGGCCTCGCCCGCCACATGCGCCTCACAAGTGGGGCTGCTGGACGCCGATGTGTTCGGTCGGCCCCTCACTGCCCAACCTGCTCGGCGTGGACATCGCCGCCCCCCTCAGCCCCCTCTTCTCGCGATGCCCCCCTGGGCCTAGAGACTGTCGGCCGCCCCCTGCTGGCCTCGCCCTTCCCCCACGCGTCCATGCTGCCACTGCAGGTGCAGGGCGTGCGCTGCATGTCCATGAGAGGAGAAGCTTGTAAGGGGGACGGAGTGGGGGCGGCTGGACGTGCTGGTGGAGGACATGCCGCCCGGCTCGGGGGATATGTGCCGTGTCTCCGGTCAGCTTAGCTTGAGCCAGCGGATCCCACTGTTAGGTGCGTAGTGGATGGGATGGGATGGGATGGGATGGGATGGGATGAGAAGGGATGGGATGGGATGGGATGGGACGGGATGGGATGGTATGGGATGGCTTGGGATGGTATGGGATGGGCTAAGATGGGAGGGGAGGGGAGGGGGAGGGAGGGGAGGGGAGGGGAGGGGAGGGGAGGGGAGGGGCTGGGATGGGCTGAGGTCGGCAGCACGGCTGTGCCAAGCTACACACCCGCCTAGCACTATTACTGCTGACTCCTTCCCACTTTTAGATACGATTCAATTGCTCGCACTTTAATTTTTCCATTTTGGCTCTCTCAAATAATCCAGCCCCCTTTTTTAGAGCTTGGGCACCTTTTTTAGGTTTTTGGCACCCCTCACATCACTCCCTGGCTCCTTGAAACCCTCTGAAACCGCCCCTTTTGCCCCTCGGCAGCTCCCTGCGCGCCCTGGCAGAGAGCGCCAAAACGCACCGGGGAGCACCCCTCTAGGGATGAGCAAATTCCCGAACGCCTGTTCGGTTCGCCTCGAACATGTTCGAGGCGAACCGAACAGGCATTTTTTTTTGCCCAAATCGTTCGGGGCGAACATGTTCGGTGTTCGGCCGAACATGTTCGCCGTTCGCCATTGACTTTTGGGGAAGGGAATTCGAACACGAACGCGTTCGTGTTCGAATTGGGGGTCCCGCGAACACCAAAGTGTTCGCGTCAAAATTGGCCGCGACCAAATTTAGGTCGCGGCCGTTTTGAGTTTGAGCTCATTTCGTGAGCTCATACTCAAAACGCGTTTAGCGCTTAGCCCTCCCTCACACAACCGCCCTAGCCATGCGGTTTTAGTAGCCATCGCACACCGTTCCTCGTTCATCTACACGTACATTTCATCTAGGGTAGTCCGTAGTGTAGGGTGTTTTCGTGCACATTAGGGTTGAGAAGCATAGGGATCAAGCACCAAGCATAGGGATTCAATTAGGACCGTGCTAACGTGGCACGCGACCGTTACTTTGGGGGGGCTTTAGGGTTTTAGGACAAGTGTGACTATAACGAATCTCCCCCAGGGCGAACACGAACATGTTCGCCTCGAACGTGTTCGTGTTCGCCTGCAGCAGCTAATTGTTCGCCTCTTAGGGCGAACGGCGAACACAGATTTTCAGTCAGGTCGTTCGCCGAACCGAACAGTGTTCGGTTCGGCACAAGGCCATGTTCGACCGAACTCGAACACGAACATGTTCGAGTTCGGCCCCTGCTCATCCCTACACCCCTCTCATCACTCACTCGCTGCACGCCCCTACCTCCTTTGCCTTCTCCGTTACCCCCTCTCCCCACTCCCTCCCCCCTTTTCCCTTCCCACACCGACAGCAACTGTCCTGTACTAGCCATGAGGAGCCCAGCTATTGCTGAGATACACAACCGGTGGCATGGCAGAACCACGGGCTGCAGCAGCAGTAGCAATAGTCGTACCGGTGAGTTTTGAGACCAATGAGGAGATTTGTTGTGCTAAAATTGCCGTTTCCTTTTGACCATGAGTTTGCAGCAACTTGCAAGATTGTGTAACGATGTAGATGCGCAATTGACTTCAACAGTTGTTTGCATGTTTCCAGCCTATCCAACCCACATATAGCATCACCACCTAGGGCAGCAGGCGTTCACTTGCTTGCACACTCTCTCCTCCTCGTATTGTTACGAAGACTTCACCACAATGTGCATCCACAAGGATGCAGAAGTGGTAATCTTTCAGTCATGCATCCGCAGTGGGCTTTCCAATGGTCGTGAAGATTTTCTCCGGCAAGCTCTTCGCTTGCGTATGGTTTCCACGTCTAGGATCTGTGTATTCCAATTCGAACCATTTGATTCTCATAGCGATATCCGTTTCTGATAGTTCAGACCCCTGTTATTAAGACATAATGGTGCAAGAACGTCACAGATGGTTGTACTCGTTCACATTCAGTGGGTATGCTACACTGCAGTTCCACCACATACTTTCATGCTTAGCTCTAGCAATAAAATTGTCGTTCTTCGGGTGGCCCGCCTTTGCCTCTACGGAACACATTGTACTGCCAGGTTGGTACTGTAGACTTGGATGCGTGCATGAGGTATATATTCCATGATTAGTCTATAAGGTAGTGAACGACCGTTGTTTCCTTGTGTTGTTATCCTTTCCACTCCCCCTCCCCCCTCCCATCCTTCTTCTCCGTCCCCCCTTCTCACACTCACCTAGTGTGCATTGGAGCTGACAGCATGTTTGTGACCCCATGCCTGCCTTCATTGCTGCCATTGCTGTCTTACCTCTTCCCCTCCCCCCTCTTCTCTCTCGTCCTTGCTCCCCGTCCTTCCTCTCACACCCAGCTAATGCGACTCGGTGCAAACAGTGTGTTCGTGTCCTCATGTTTGTGTCCCTCATTACCCTGTTCACATGCCCCTTCCCCTCCCCCATGCATCCTTCCTTTCCGCCCTCCCCTCCCCCCTCTCTCAAGCAGCTCCTGCCCACTGGCACTGACAGTGTGTTGGTGAGAGAGCCACTGAGGCAGGAAGAGAAGCCGCAAGCAACCTTCCTCATGTGTTTTCCCGTCCCCTTCCTCACCCGGAAGTGCCCCTTCACTTAAACAGCTCATGTGTGTGGGCACCGACGGCATGGTCATAGACACTTGGCACAGCTGTCAGAGACGCCGAGGCAAGAAGAGCAGATGAGGCGAGCCAAGAAGCAACAGAGGCGGCAAGTGACGCCAAGATTCTGCATCCCTATTCATGGTGAACGGGGTGGGTGGATGGCTAGGTGCTGTGTGCATGGGCATGGTGAATGGGGTGGGTGGGTGGATGGGTGGGGGCGATGCGTGCATGTGCTTGAAGTGTCCATGCATGGTGTGCTGTGTGCATAAGTGTGCATGGTTTATGGATGCATTGTGTGGATGGTCTATGGATGCATGGTGGTGTGTGCATGGTGTGTGATTCGTATGCATGGTTTACACTGCAATGTCTTGCATGGCGGTTGTGGTGGGCATATGGCACCAGCCAACAACCCCGTTCCCCTCATCATCCCATCGCAGCCGGGTATGGCGCATGGTAGGGCGCAAGGTAGGGCATGCCTGCACTGTCGGCCTGAGGAGATCGCACGGGGTGCAGGCGGAGGGAGGGCAGAGCGGAGGGCGTGCAGCAGCGAGGACAGTACAGCTGAAGGGGGGGGCTCCCGAGGGCACTGCCATGGCGGAGCGGAGGAAGAGCACCATGATTCCTGCTGGATAGGGGACAGGGGGGAAGTGGGGGAGGGGGGGGGTTGGCAAGGGGGGAAAGCGGGAGAAGGGGTGCAGGGGTGCAGTGAGACATACAGGTGGAGCTAGGAGGAGAGTAGGAATAAGAGTGAGAAATGGCACAATCGAGCAGAAGGAGAGGGGATACAATCATGGTTACAACTTACAACACATGAAGGATCCCAGATGTTGTACATTCCATGGCCCATGCCCCATGTCACCCATGCTCTGTGCCCCATGCACCATGCCTCACACTACCACCGTGTGACATGCCCTCTCATGACCCCACCACTCACCTGCAGCACTGTCGCTGACATCCTCCCCATCCGAATGCTCCCCCTCGTCCTCCTCTTGCCCCACCGCCTGACTTAGCAGCTGCGGCCGCACCAGCTGCGGCCTGGAGGAAGCTTCCTTGCAAGTGCCGCATCTCCCGCCACACCACGGGCCAGGTGGATGAAGGATGGGCGGAGAGCAGCGCTGGGAGGGGAGGGACAGGAGGAAGAGGAAAGGAGGGGAGGGGACAAGGCGACGTGCCAAAAAGAGGCGAAGAATGAGGCGAGTAGGGAATCAGTGCATGCAGGGGCAGAAGGGGATGACGGGGAAGGGAACGAGGAGCGGGGAAGCATGGGAAGGACAAAGAAGACAAGGCCGAGAATGGGAGGTCAGACGAGATGGGAGGGAAGGGAGGTGGGGGGAGCGTGGGGCTAGACGGTTGTGATGTAAGGGAAGTGACAAACTAGGGACTCGCCTGCAAGGTAGCCAATGGCAGGCTGCCACATCATCGCAATCTTAAAAAGCAGCAGCCCCAGCACACAGAGAGTGACAGCTGGCAGCAGCTGGTTGGGCACCCGCCCATCCCCTGCGCGCTTCCCTTCCCCCCTGCACTGCTTGCGAGGCGGTTGTGAGGAGCAGGGAGAGCAGAGGGGCGGCAGTTGTTGGGATGAGATGGGTGGCAAGCAGTCGTATCACACGTGTCACAACTGTTTATGCTACGTCAGCAGTGCCAGGGACTGGAAGGAATGACAGGGGATGGAGGGCATGGGAAGGCGAGGGTGCCACGGAGGGGATCGGGAAGAAGGTTGATTGCTATGTGGGCAGCACCGTACATGCCTGCAGCCGTACATGCCTGCAGCCGTACATGCCTGCTGCCGTACATGCCTGCTGCCGTACATGCCTGCTGCCGTACATGCCTGCTGCCGTACATGCCTGCTGCCGTACATGCCTGCTGCCGTACTTGCCTGCTGCCGTACATGCCTGCTGCCGTTCTTGCCTGCTGCCGTACATGCCTGCTGCCGTACATGCCTGCTGCCGTACATGCCTGCTGCCGTACTTGCCTGCTGCCGTACATGCCTGCTGCCGTACATGCCTGCTGCCGTACTTGCCTGCTGCCGTACATGCCTGCTGCCGTACTTGCCTGCTGCCGTACTTGCCTGCTGCCGTACATGCCTGCTGCCGTACATGCCTGCTGCCGTACATGCCTGCTGCCGTACATGCCTGCTGCCGTACATGCCTGCTGCCGTACTTGCCTGCTGCCGTACATGCCTGCTGCCGTACTTGCCTGCTGCCGTACATGCCTGCTGCCGTTCTTGCCTGCTGCCGTACTTGCCTGCTGCCGTACATGCCTGCTGCCGTACTTGCCTGCTGCCGTACATGCCTGCTGCCGTACTTGCCTGCTGCCGTACTTGCCTGCTGCCGTACTTGCCTGCTGCCGTACATGCCTGCTGCCGTACTTGCCTGCTGCCGTACATGCCTGCTGCCGTACTTGCCTGCTGCCGTACTTGCCTGCTGCCGTACTTGCCTGTCACCACAAATTCACCCGTGCCCTTCATTGGTCATGAAACCTCCCCCATGCACCATCAGATCATAAACCCGAACGCACTGCCCCAGACGCCACAACCATTCGCCCTCATCACACACGTTCCTCACCACGCCACGCCGTCACTACCACGCCATGGGCTCACCTGGCTGGCCCTGCAGCAGCAGCAGCGCTGGTGGGCGCAGAGAGGAGGGCAGCAGCAGCAGGCGCAGCAGCAAGGGGGGGTGGGGGGGGGCTTGGAGTGCATTGAGTGCACGAGGCCCTTGGCTGCATGAGCGAGCAGCAGCACCACCCGCTCTCCCTCTCCTCATTCACCACTGACCTCGCCTCCGCTAGCACCCACAGCATACCCAAAGTGTTGCGGGAAGGAATGGAGGGTAGGGGAAAGGAGGGGGAGAGGGAAGTGAGGGATTGGATTGCAACGTACAATAAAAAACAGACCAGCTGGCATTAGCTGGTACATGCAACAGATGAACGGACATTAGCTGACACGCACGCTCCTGGCCTCTGCAGCCGTTCATTTGCTAATCTGCACCTCTGTTCATCTCCTCCTTACTCTGCTCCTTTGTAAATCGGCTCCCCCCCCCCTCACACCATTCCCATCTTCCAGCGACTGCCGCGCCTCTCACACTCGCACCATCACCAAGCCTACCTACCACCATCACCGACCCCCACCCCCCCCCCCTTCCCTCCAACCCTTGTGCGCGCACCTCGGGCCATCTGCTTGGGCGGGGCGGTGCGCAGCACGAAAGCATGGCTGTGCGCCACCAGCTCACGCACATAGTCCGCCGGGTAGAACCGCAGTGCCTTGGTCATCTTGTTCAACGGTGGGGGAGAGGGGAGTGGGGCGAGGGGGGTAGGGGAAGGGAAGGGGGAGGTTCTCTGAAACGGCATCCACATCGTACCTCTCCGACCTAATCATCCTCTCTTTTTTGACTTCACTGGCTCCCCGCATTGGTTCGCATGCTGTTGCGCATCCGTTTCACTCCTCCATCAAGTCTCCATCAACTCTTGCTGCTTTCCTCCTTCGTCCTCTGTGCCTTCTGAGATGGGGTGGACCCCTTTCACATCACAATGCAACTCTGCACGCTTCACCCTGTGCATAGCTTTAACCATTTGCAAATACCTGCTGTGGCTACTTGCAGATCCCGCCCATCTTGCCCCGCATCCATCCAAACCACGATAAATACTGGGCGATTGAGTATTGTACGGTAATAGTTCCATTGATTCACACTGATCACGACTGCTTGGATCATAGCAGCTAACTTTCAGCCTTTCAAAGGCCCTCAAAGTCAGATGACCATCCCATAGCACTTGAGGAAACACACACAGCACAAGTGCTCAAGTCTCAAGAGCTCTGCACAGGAGTTACAACTCGCTTCAAACAGGGCAGGTTCTTTAAGCAGTCCATGCCCCTTTCAGTCACCAGAGTGCACTCCCTCGTATCCAATTCCTCCAGGGCTGTGAAGTGCCTGACATGCTCCATGCCAGCATCAGTACTCCCATACGGCAGGGAGAGCTCTTTCGGCCTAGTCAAGCAGGTCAGGTATTCCAGCCCGGTTGTCCCCCGCTGCTGTGCCACCAAGGAGAAGCACTTGAAGGCCAGTCAGCGAGCACACACAGAGCATTGCAGCAGATCCAACAGACAAGCAATAATCAAGCTTCAGCCTCTTGAGTGAGGAGAGGCCTGTCAGATACCGCAGGCCAGCAACACTCACATCTGTGCCACTGAGGCTCAGATCCGCAAGGCTGCCTGCAGCATCGATGCCTTCTAGCCCATTGTCCAGTATGTCAGTCTCCCCCAAATCCAGCTTCTCAAGTTGTGGCAGCCTGCAGATCTGCTCGATGCCTGAAGCCGGAAGACCCGTCAAGCTCAATGCTCTTAAGGTGGGTCATAGTGCCCACGAGGTCCATGATGTAATCTAAGAGGTTGGACGCTTCTGAGATTCAGACGTGGGTCATCTGATGTACAGTTGATGGGCTGCCACACAGAACAGAGGCAGAACAGATCCAAATCGTACCCTTGCTTAACATAGAATTGAAAGAGAACATAAGATAAGCACTTGTGAAATATTGTAACTAGTTTTCCGACCTCTAGCCTGGTCAACCCAATAACAAACTGATCTGCTGCATGCACTTGTCTTCGCAAAATTCTGACCACACTTGCTCGCTTACCCGTAAAATTCTCCGTATGTCCATTTCCGCGTTCTCTCCTTTGAATACTGCCAGCTCCGCTTGATAGATGCCAGAATCTCATCGCCAGTATCTCTTCCTTCAATGCATTCACCGACTCCATCGCCTCCTCCTTCCCTTCCATCTGTCACTGCAAACCAAAGATGCTTACGCTCAGATTTTTATTTTCCTACTTCAGTTCCACTGAGAGAAGTATGGATGAGTAAGAATGATGACGAGGACACAGTGATTGGAGTGAATGGAACAGGAACCAACAGAATGATGTGGGAACCATGTGTCAAGGAGCTGCAAGCAACATACGAGGGACGCCAGGTAGTGTTATGCATATCACACTTATAAAAAACCACTCTACAAACCATCCAGACTCAAGCAAATACAAGCAAGAGAACAGAGTGCGGCAAGTGGGAGATGTGGAGAGTAGAATGACAGCACAAATAGCGGAGGATGTGTGAGGCAACGCAGGGAAGGCGCGGAAGATTTTGTGAGGCTTGGAGGGAGCAAACTTGCATGTGCACCCTTCTGGATGGTGTGGTGCGACATGGCGCTTTGAAAATTCGCCAAGGCGTGACATGGCAGGCAGAGTCACCGTACCAGATGCTGAGACTCGGCGTTAACAGTGTTGTCAGCGCGGGTGTCGTATCCTGCAAGGAGTAGTTGGAGCGCTATGCTGACATGGCTGCAGCTGAACTAACAAGGTCGTGCGAAGTGTCTGAGAAGAGACGGGGAGAGACGAGGACGAATGGAAAACGAGAGAAAGATCGCAGATCACGAGTGGAAGGGGTGACGAGAGAAACCAGAGTCGGACGAGGCAAGTTTTAGGCAACGTTGTTACCGATCCCGTTCACCATGTTTGTACAGTGCGCCCTGGATGATCCCCCTACCTGCCCGTCGCCTTTGCCTCTGCACCTGCTAAATCCAGTCCTCTGTAATGGTTCCGCTCCGTGCATTGGCGACTCGGCTTGTCCGCAAACTTTGCATCCCTCGCGAATTGATTCTTCGTGCGCAGAACGCGACAGGTCGCCCACGTGTTTCCACAGCAGCTTGGCGAAGCACGGCGACGAGGAGGGACGAGGAGAGACACCCATGGGTCACACTCGCTTCTGTCCCCAGTGTATCCTGAAAGAGTCACCCAGGAGCCTGTTGGGTCAGGGGATGATGAGTTGTAATTCTAGACGTGGACGGGTGCGAAGCATCGAATCATGTGGAATGGACAGTGGAATGAGACAATGGTGCAGCACGTCGCGTAACCAGGATTCCTCGTGATCATTCTATAGGACAACCCTAAACTGTTGCCCTGCGACGAGAGAACTGAGCAGGTGGAGGAATCGATACTTGGCCAGTGGGCAATTCAGAAGTATGCGCGCGAGCATGTTGAACCGAATGTGTCCGTCGCTCGTTAGTAGCAACGGGCGATGTGAGTTAAACGCGCCAAACTTACCGACGCTACGTAAACGGAGATTAGGGTTACTAGGAAACAACGCAAAAGAGAAGGCAGAAGAAGATGGCGAAGTTCGTAGAATGGCGACATTGGTTCTCGATTTCTGAACACAAAGCTCGTCACAAAATCGAGGGGAGCATGGGTTTAGGGTTTAGGGTCAGCGGGTGTGAACTGCGAGCCTGCCTGAATATTTGCGGTCTTCGTTCAGTTGCGCAGAGCGAAAGCTGGTTTGATCAAATCGGTCGCGATGTAACACCGTGTTACAATACAATGTGAACCATTCGAGCTATCTGGAAAAATCACTGCCAGGTATACGGCTTGAGACACAATCGAGATTCCCAACAGTTCGCCGATTACGTCATCCGAAATTAGGGACGACGCTTTCGACACAGACTGACCTAGGGAATGTTGGGAAAACGTTGCGCTTCGATTTAAATCCGTCGGACACGACGATGTGGAGAGTTAGATGAACGGCGACCTATGACAATGCGCTGCGCAGAGAGAAACTTCGTCCTTCCATTCGTACATTCCAACGACGGTTGCCCGCATCGTGGCCCTTTGCGTGCACTGAATCATGCCTCTCGTGCTCGCCGATCGTCCGCATCGTGCCGATCGGGGATGTTTTACCGCGCGACCGCAGCCGTGCCACGACGACGCCAAGTCACCCAGCCATGTGCTCCCATTCTGCCGTTCTGTCAAGTCATCGTTCGGCGTCGCACCTCGCCTCGCACACGCTACCACTGCACCCATAAAACTGTCCATCTCCCTCCCTACCCTCCCACCCACCCCCTCCGCCCTTCGGCTTCTGAAGTCCTCCTTTTGCGCAAGGACCAAAACCCGCGTTCGTTGCGGCCCAGCAGTTTACCCGATGGCAATTCCCAGCAACGAGCTGGCCATCACCCGAGCTGGCAAGCAACGAGATGGGGTGCAGCCTGGCATGCGGTGCTGCGCGCATGCAAATAGTAACGCCTAACATCGGAATGGGCTAAGCATCGGGATGGAGAGTTCTAGCAAACGTTGAGATGAGTGAACAAACAGGAGTGCGAGTCGAACGCGTAAGGCGTTGCCTCCCTCCTGTCCTCTCTCGTTCACCCCCTTTCCTCCTGCCTGGTCCTCGCCCCTTTAAAGTCAATTCTCCAATTTCTTCTGTCCGGTTTTTCCTGCCTACTAATTTCGATTTATCCCCTTTCGAGTTTATCTCCTCTCGTGGGGTCGTTCCTTTCCACCCGCTCCCCTCCGCCTGACGATCTGTCTGCTTAGAAGTGCCTTGTCTCAAACTGAATATTCATTGCTGCAATCTGGCATACCTGCGTGCCACTGCCACACACCAGCTAGGCACGGCCAGTCCACTGTGAGTGGTTCTCCACTGCTGATCCTCTTCCCACAAATCCGTTCCTGCCTCACTCTTCCCACGTCTCCTGTCTCTCTTCTCATGTGTCCTGCTCCTCATCTTTCACCCTTCGAAGTATCTCCAACTTAGAAGCTTCTTGTTTCTTTGTCTACTCTTGTTTGGTTGACCCGCACACTCATTTTTTATGATGTCTGGGTAAGGATGAATTCAAATAAATCTACTGATTTGATTGTTTCTCCAGCCTTGTTTGGCCATGTATTTAGATCATGACATGATATACGGACTGATGATCATTACATGTCGCCTTTTTCCCACTACTTAAATTACACCACTTCATTCTCGCACTCCCTGCATGTCTTGTGCGTCTAGTCCAATCCATGGCACGACCTTCTAGATTCCTGCCTCTAGTGCGCTCTCTGCTCGCCACTCGCTTGAGGTGCTCCACTCCTTTCATTCCTTTGTTCTGCACTCATCTCACGAGGTACGCATGTGTGTTCCGGGTATCCCTCCCCTGTGCGTCTGCTCCATGCTGGTGCTTCATTGTCATGCATACCTCCATCCACCTCATACCAAACTCAAAATGTCCTCATCACTTCTTCATAATATTGCCTCTGTAAACCCACCCTAAACCCTAAACCCTAAACCCTCTCTCACTCCATGCTCCTTTACGCTCTACTCTTCGCCTCTCACCACCTGAGTTTCAACGCTCCTCGTCACCTTTTCACATGGCCAACCCTGCTGTCTTACATGCCCACTTCCACGCCACGTGCCGCCCGTCACCTCACCGCCACGTCACGTGCCGCCCACCCGACCCACCTCGCAGCCACGTCATGTGGCGGGCGGCGCATGACGTGGCAGCGAGGTGGGTCGAGTGGGTGGTATGTGACGTGGCGCTGAGGAGGCGGGCGGCATGTGACGTGGTAATGAGGCGGAAGGGGGCCCGTTACGTTCTTTCATGTTATCCTATACTCCGCCGCAGCCAGATTCATATCCATCTGTCCATCTGTCCCACGAGTCTGCTCCATGTATATCCATCCGAGGCATTGTCGTCATGTTCACTGCACTCAGACGCCCCTATCTTTTTTCTCCTGCCCCTTATTGCCTCCTGTTGTCACATACTCCTTCCTTCCACTGCTGCAGCCGCTCCTACCCTCCTTCCTCTGCTAGTGTTGCTGTTCCCCCCCTACTTGCATTGGGCTCGCCCTATCAGCCATGGCTCGAATGACTGTAGTCGCCATGCTGCTGCCAGGGTTGCTGCTCACCCTCCTTCTCGCCGCCACCATCGCTGCTATTGCAGTCATCAGCATCATCAAGCCACTTCCAAGGGATACATGGCATGCCGCCAATGCAAAGGACGTGAGTCATCACTACCATGACAACCAAATACCATATGCGGGGTGTCTGATGTATGGTGGTCATTCTTTCGCATGCTGACCACTCCAACATAGCTGCAAATAGTGTCCACGCTGTGTGTTACTTGCTCTTGTGATCGTGCCTTTTCACTGTTTTCTTGTCTTGAGACTCAGCATTCCTCTTTTCCTCTTTGTTGCCTCTTGCAGCTTCCACGTGACAGCAATAGCCAGCGGGTCAACCACCCTCTCATGCTTCTCTTTCCTTCTCTGCCTCATGTACGAAAAACTTTGGCTCTGTCATGCCCTCTTTTGTGGCTCTGTCCCCTCGTTGTCTGCAGACATTCCTGTTTCCCATGCACATTCCTCTCCCATCTCGCATCCTCCTCTGCCCTTTCCTCTCTCCACCACTCGTCCCTCTTTCCCTTCCTCTCCCTCACCAAGTCGCAGCCACGTGGATAATTTCTCTGCTGCACAGCCCCATCCTGCTGCACAGCCCCATCCTGCTGCACAGCCCCATCCTGCTGCACAGCCCCATCGTTCAATCTCATCCTGGGGGGCATTTATTGTATCCACATCCTCTTGACACATTCATCAACATGTCCTCACTTCGAATAAGCCATGTTGGACTGCCTGTAGAGAAGGGCCATTCGACCGCCTCTCCTCATGTCATGCCCCTGAATCTTATCCTGTTCTCAGTGCATGTGCTCATGCCCGCGTTTTTGCCAACACTCTCATGGGGAATATGCCGTCATACCCGCAGCATGTTTCCCCATTTGTTGACATTGTGACCAGCACCTGCCTTCACATCTCCTATGCTGCGTAAACCTGAGGGCACTTTGCTGATTTCTACCTGTGTTTTCATCTCTTTAGTTCTTCATTCTCCTAACAATTCACTCGCATTTGTTTCTCCCTAACCTCCCACGTTTTCATTCCATGTGCTGCCGTGTGTTCCCATGTGCTGCCATGTGTTCCCGTGTGCTGTTGTGTGTTCACATATGCTATTATGTGATAGGAAGCATGCCTGTTTCCAGATGGAGAGAGTAGGTGAAGCTGTTAGGTCCGTCATCTCAAGGATGGCCAGAACGAGGCGATGGAGTTGAGGTGTTGAGGGCGCTTGGCGTGCAGCTGGAAGAGAGGAGGAGGGAGATGGAGGAGGCTGAGATGAGACAAGTGTCGGGGATTAGGGAGATGAGAGGGCAGGTGGAGGAGAGGGAGAGGGAGTTGGATGCAGTGAAGGGGCAGCTGGCTGAACACAAGGATGTTACGACAGAGCAGCAAGATATTGTTGAGAGAAGAAGGGAATCGGATGTGAGAAAGCTTCAAGAGGTTGGGGAGGAATTGGCAGGACAACTCTTGCCATCTCTGCCCCGTCCTCTTGAGGTTCTCTCCCTGGGGACTTTGCAGCGCCTCACCCCTTTTATAGAAATCCCTGCTCTGCCTCGGCTGAGGAGGTTGGGCCTGATAAGTGTTGCCTACATGCGGGGACTGATGGCTGGCATGACGGCTGAGTCGGCTCAAGAGTCTTGAGCTGCATGGCTCTAAGAAGCTGACTGCTTTGCCAGAGGAGATCACCCAGCTCAAGATGCTTGATAGCTTGAATATCTCAGGGTGTGATTATGACATTGACACTGATTGTCTTACTGAAATGCATGGATTGCGTTTGTTAGGACCTTCAACAAGTTTCGGACACATGGTACCGTAGTGCTTAGGCGCTGCTGATGAGGTGGTCGGATGCATCCAGTGTGCTTTAGGGGAGGACTCCTGAGTCGACTCAAAAGTCAACTAGGTGGTCGGATGCATCCAGTGTGCTATAGGGGAGGACTCCTGAGTCGACTCAAAAGTCAACTAGGTGGTCGGATGCATCCAGTGTGCTTTAGGGGAGGACTCCTGAGTCGACTCAAAAGTCAACTAGGTGGTCGGATGCATCCAGTGTGCTATAGGGGAGGACTCCTGAGTCGACTCAAAAGTCAACTAGGTGGTCGGATGCATCCAGTGTGCTATAGGGGAGAACTCCTTTCATTTCTTTCACTGCATACGGTATCACCAGTTCACGTGCATTCAGGGCATGGCATGGTAGTAAGTTGTCATGGTAGAAGTTGTTAATGGTGTAATCACCCTAGTCCTTAGCAAATCAAGAGCCCATGATTCAAGCAGATTACGGTTATGTTAGTACCGTAGATGAATTTAGTCACCACATCATAGCTGGTTATGGCTATCATCAAACTATCTAGCAGCTTGAGCTCTCAAAAATAATCAGGCAGAGCCTCCAGCTGCTCACAGCCCAACAACTCAAGGGCCTACACCTTGCTAAGCCGGGCAAGGTTGGGAGGAAGAAATTTGAAGAAGCCCTAAGCGGAGTGAGGGAATCAGGGAGATGCATGAGAGCGGGGCAGTTGGACAGACTCAGCTTGCAAATTCTGGATAAGGCTCCGATTGATTAAGGGAGTGAAGGCAGCTTAATTGGGAGCGTTTATCTCCAACTATGTGAGCTGTCGGAGCGTTGCGATAGTCACTGGGATTCCCGCTCAGTGGAAATACTCCCTTGAATTCACACACGATCCCTGAAATACCCCTTTCCTGAATACCACCTCTCAAGGTACCACCTGCCTACATGCAGCAGCCAGTGAGAATGGATTGATAGACGAGGTACCAAAAGCAGGCACAAACGCGGAAGAGAGAGAACGAGAGGAGCCTGGAGGGGCGGTAAGTTGAGGCACCTTAGCCAACAGAGCAGACGAGGAGCAGTTGTTACGACTGGAACAGGGACCACAACTGAGTCAGCTCGTTTCCAGGGACGGAGGGGAAGTGATTCGAGGAGGGTGAGAGGTGAGAGGATGCGCGTCTGTGAAAATTGAAGGAACGGAAGGGGGAGGGAAGGGGGCTGTGTTTACAGGTGCTTCCGAAGAAGGATTCGGTAGGAAGGTGGTGCTGCCTTTGGGGTTGTCAAGATAATCGTTGGGTTACTCAAGGCATGTAGTGCGTTCTTAAGAGAGGGCGTGTGCCGGAAGGTGGTCGAATAGGTCGAGATGGAGGACGAGGATACGAGGCAGGCGCAGGAAGGTCTGGCATATTCGGCTAGGTGTAGAGAGGTGACAGTGGGTGCATGCGGTGCCTTGCACTGTCCCGTCCTGGAAGTGGGGAGAAGGGATGAAAGAGGTATTAGAGGCGATTGGGAGGAAAATGGACATCAATGGAACACATGAAAATGAGACAGATGTTGTGTGGAAAAAATCAGACGCACATTGATACGGACCAGATTTACCTGGAAGAAGTGGTTGAGAGAAGATGTTTCGTTGGTAATTGAGATGAACGGAAGCACCACGGCCACTGCCACCACCCCATGGAAGTGGGTGGGATGGGTGGTAGCAGCACCGATGGTGGCAGCTCTGGAGTGAAGGCAGTGGAGCAGAGAGCAGAGGAACTCGTGGGCGTCCTGATGGGGCAGGGTACACGAGGTAGGAGGGGGGTAATGGCGAGATGGGCGAGATGGGCAGGAAAAAGGAAGGAGAGGGACAATTCAACCGCATGAAGGCGAGAACGGAACCAAGAGGAATATTTTAGACTCTTGGGCAAGGATTTCAAAGCACATGCAAACAGGTCAATGCGGACACTGCTAGCCAGCATGCATGGCGAGGCTTCAAGAAACCCCCCCTGCAATTCCACCACACCCTCATACACTCACCACAGCCTACCTATTTTACTTATCCCATCCCCCCTCTAATCTTACCCTGCCAGCATCTGCTCTGCTGCTAATCCTGCCCTTTCCCCACTAATATCACCTTCTTTTGCTGCACCGCTCTCACCTGCTGCACCTGCCCCCAAAAAATGGGATCGCTTCGCCCCACTGCCCTTTTAACAACACTTTCATCTGCCACTCATATTTCCCATTTTAGTGCAACTGCTGTTTCCACGTGGCAGGTCAGGAGCTGCCACGTCAGCCACTGAAGCTCAGTGGTTACGAGGAGGTGGAGCGCGCAAAAGGGGCGGGGAGAGGGAGGTGAAGGAGGTGGGAGAGAAAGGCTGGCTGGGAGGCGAGGGCTTGGAGTGTGGAGTTGACGTAACACATGTTGACATGACTGTATTGAATGTGCTGTTGAGGAGATGATGGTGGGGAGGGACAGGGGACAGAGAACGGTACGACGGAGGGGGGAAAGGAGGGGGGGCAAGAGGGGAACGGAGAGGGGAAAGGAGGGGGTAAATGAGGGGGAAATGAGGGGACAAATGAGGGGGTAAATTGAGGTTGAAAATGTGGGGGGGTGATGAGGGGAAAGGAGGTAGGTTGGAATAGCCCTTTGGAGAAATGAACTAGAAGCACGAGTGGACGAGGGAAATGGGAGAGCGAATGGGAAAGGAGAGAGCAACGGAGGGTGGAGGTGGAGGTGGGTGGGGAAAGAGGGGAAAGGGGAGAGGGGAAAGGGGAGAGGAGAAAAGGAAAACTGCAGAAGGTGCAGGGAAAAGGGTATGGGGCAAGGAATCCAAAGAATCGGGAGACGACGGGCCCACCCTAGTCTTGGTAGAGGCGTTTTGAGAGGGTGGTATCCATGATTCCCAGGGCTTGCCTCGTTTCTCCCCTCTACCACATAGCTCTTCACTCGCATTAGCTCCTCCTGCTTCTCCTGCCCCTTCTCGCCCCCTCCTTCTGCCACGAGGCATGGGTCCCCCCATCTCCCCTGTGCAGGCATGCCGATACCTGACAATGCACCAACACCCGTCTGCGTGTGCCTCCTCTCTCGATTCGCTCCTCACTGCTCCTCTGTTCCTCCCCATCCACCTGTCGACTCGCCTTGTATGTGCCCTGCTGGACCCCGCTGCTGCCCCATCTTCTGTGCCACGTTGCTTCACTGAACGTTTGCTCGCCTCCTGCCAACTCACATCGCCCCACTACTGTCCCTGCAGCAGTCCAAGTCAGCATCCAACTGCAGCCAACACTTGGCCGGTTGCTGTTGCTGTTGCTGCCTCGACAATTTTCGGGAACCTGCATGCCAATCATCTGCCACAGCGCCGACATGGAAAGACGAAAGTGTAACGCGGAGGGAAGGAGGAAGAGGGGCGGGAAAAGGGGAAAGGAAAGGACTAGTGTGGGCATGGCACGGAAAGGTAGTCAGGTCACGAGGTACCAAACACCTGCGATCCCGACCGACCGCCAAGAGACTTGTGTGTGGCCGATGTCACAGATGGGCAGTCGGGTCATGAGGTAAGGCAGCAAGGTGCAATGTGTCACATGTGACAGGCAGAACAGGTGCGCAAGGCAGAACAGGTGCGCAAGGCAGAACAGATGGGAACGCAACGCAGGGAGGGGGGTCGCATACTTAAAAATCTGAGAGGTGGTGCATGTGAGGGCCATTGCGACGCGACGGCACGTGCAGAACAGAGGAAGCGAGGAGATGAATGGAAGGTGTGAGGTGAAGAGTAAGAGAGACACAGGAGGGAGCGAGCTGAACGGAGAAGGGACGAGGGGCGGAAAAGGGGCGAAAGCATCATGGTGGCGTGGCGGTTCTATTAGAGGCCAACTCACCATCGCCATCCCCATCGCCAACCCATCGCCATCCCCAACGCCATCCCCAACGCCATCCCCGTCTCCATCCCCATCCCCATCCCCATCCCCATCGCCATCGCCATCCCCATCCCCAACGCCATCCCCATCCCCAACGCCATCCCCAACGCCATCCCCGTCTCCCTCCCCATCCCCATCCCCATCCCCATCCCCATCCCCATCCCCATCCCCATCGCCATCGCCATCCCCATCCCCAACGCCATCCCCATCCCCATCCCCATCGCCAACGCCATCGCCATCGTCATCGCCATCGCCATCCCATCCCCATCCTCATCCCCATCCCCATCCCCATCCCCATCCCCATCCCCATCCCCATCCCCATCCCCATCCCCATCCCCATCCCCATCGCCATCGCCATCCCCATCCCCAACGCCATCCCCATCCCCATCCCCATCCCCATCCCCATCCCCATCCCCATCGCCATCGCCATCCCCATCCCCAACGCCATCCCATCCCCATCCCCATCCCCATCCCCATCCCCATCCCCATCCCCATCCCCATCCCCATCGCCATCCCCATCGCCATCCCCATCCCCATCCCCATCGCCATCCCCATCGCCATCGCCATCCCCATCCCCATCCACATCGCCATCCCCATCCCCAACGCCATCCCCATCCCCATCCCCATCCCCAACGCCATCCCCATCCCCATCGCCATCGCCAACGCCATCGCCATCGTCATCGCCATCGCCATCCCATCCCCATCCTCATCCCCATCCCCATCCCCATCCCCATCCCCATCCCCATCCCCATCGCCATCGCCATCCCCATCCCCAACGCCATCCCCATCCCCATCCCCATCCCCATCCCCATCCCCATCCCCATCCCCATCCCCAACGCCATCCCCATCCCCATCGCCATCGCCAACGCCATCGCCATCGTCATCGCCATCGACATCCCATCCCCATCCCCATCCCGACAGGTGGAATTCTCAACAGGTGGAATTTCTGCTGGCTCAGAGAGTTGGAAAAGCTTCGCGACAGGTGGAATTCTCAACTCCCGTGACTCGCCTTTCTGCTTAGCAGCAGCGACGTGCCACTGGGATGACGATGCCCACGAGCAGCCGCTACTGCCGCCCCCTCCTCCCGCCCGCTTCATACTCCTCACAAATCCTGCTTCAGACGTGACAGTCGAGTCGACCACGAGTCAACCTTCTGTGTATCCCTATCCTGGCTTTTACCCACACCCCATGACTCTCAGCTGCCTACTCCTCCTCACCCTCCCCGTTCTCCTCTGCCTCTCCCTCCTCTTCCCTTAGATCCTCCTCAAGCATGCCCCGTGTCACTCAGCCCGTCTGCATCAATGCTCACAGCAGTCCCATCTACGAGCCAGAGCAGCGTCGCCATGATATCCCCCAGCCCCACCAGCCCATTCACTGTGACCACATTCGCCGGGTTGTGCACCAGCCCTAAGCAGCACGCGGCGATGAGCGAGACCTATGCAGCGTCCAGCAGCCCACTCACTCACTGGTGTGGTACCGCAGCTGGCTGTGCACAACGCCCGCAGTCACGTGCTCGTTGTAACGCATGAGAGCCTCGTGCCAGCTCCAGTGCGTGGGCGAGTGCGGCAGGCCCGAGATCTCTGGTCGCCATAGTCGATGATCTACCCAGCACCTATCATCTGGTTGCGCACACCAAGCTCGCCCTTCACCAGCTCCATCGTCTGACTGCCACAGCAAGGGACGGAGAGGGGACACAGAGCGCTACGATAAATCAGGAAGGCGTCAAAGCCTGGCTGTGATAGCGCTTCGTACAGAGACGGAGCAAGAAGGACTGCACTCAACAACCATTCCTCTGCGCTGGGTTGAGCTTGTCACCCTCTTCTCACGCTCACGCCGCCTACCTCGCTTACCCCTCCCCTCCTGCCCCATCCTCCGCCTCCTTGACCTCTAGGGACTGCAGGCAGGTGGAGAGAGGGAGGAGGTGGAGTACGGGTGCGTGGAGGCTGGCTGAGAAAGGGGTTGTAGGACAGGAGGCACTAGGAGTGTGGGGTGGGGGGGTTGGGTGACTGAAAGCGGGATGCAGGATGATGTGGGAAGGGAAAATGACGAGAAGGGGGAGGGGGTGGTGGCAATCGGACGTGTGGATGGGCGTGAAGGTGCGAAGAGGAGGGGGTAAAGACAGGCAGAGAGATCACATATCAAGGCGAGCAACTGGCAGGCGGTGAGGGAGAGTTGACGTGTAGGTGACGCACTGCAGACATGCTTGACCACACCCTCAGTCACGGCATGCAATGCCATGAGCTTTCTCGCACCTCTTCATTCTCTGCATGGAGCCTAGAATACCCGAATGACCAGCATTCGACCAGCGTGGAGCCTGAAAGGTCCAGCGTGTAGTTAGCTTCTGCTGTTTCACCCTTCTCTTCTCTCCCACGCCTTCCTCCAGCCCGTCTTCCTCCACTCGCTGCCACCACTGCTGCTGCTGCTGCTGCTGCCTCGGCCATGCTGCCTGGCCGTCCATCGCAGCGATAGGTTGGGCTCATTCATGAGGGCAGGTGCTGTTGGTGTGGGCAGAAGCAGGGAGTGAGGGGGAGAGAACGAAAAAAGGTAAGACCATTTCACCGAGCGAGGAGGGGCTGACAGCTGATGGCATTGCAAGGAAAAGCAGTGCTCAACATCATTCTTCCGTTAGCCAAGATAGGCAAGGGCGCGACGGGAGGGAGCCGTGCCCTCCAGCAATGGATGGAAGAATGGAAATAAGGGAGGAAACAACTTAGCTGGTTCGATACAGGCTGGTTACTCGCCTTCTCTCACCTCCGCGTTCGCACATTGTCGCCCAGTCTGCCCTCAGCTGAGAAGACATCCGCATCCCTTGCATCTGCCGCCACGACACAGCGATGTGTCCACCCGTGGTGACAGCAGCAATGAGCGTTGTACTGGAGATGCTTCGCCATCGTGCTCGCTAGACTCCGGCGGGAGTTCTTGAATCGCTGAATAGGGTTTGGCACGGTAGTAGAAGTTACCTTGTTCGTCTCTCCAGCTTCGTGTCCACCATGGGGGTTGACTGTCGGCTGCGGCGACTTCATCCCCCAGTGTCTTCAACGAATTTATACCCAGTGTGGCGTAACTACCATACGGCTGTGACTTGGATGGCGGATTAGGAACGCATAGAGAGAAGGCACGGCCAAAACATTGCTGCCTCGCTCGCCCTGCCACCTTCTGCTGCCCGACTTCACCGCCACCACGGCTGTTGCTATAACCCGTGGCTGCGGATGCTGTTGGTGCGGGAAGGAAATGGGAGCAAGGGGGAGGCGGGGGGAGTGGGGGAGAGGGGGGCGGAGGGAAAGCGCAGTTGCTGATCAAGGAGAGGAGAGTCGCCAAGAGCCAATGATTGCATTGCACGTGGAAAGACAGTGCTCACTCTCAGTCAGCCTCGTAGAAAATCAGAAGAGCCATGCTAGGCGCGGATAGGCGTGGGCGCGAAGGAAGGAAGCCAGGGTTTGCAGCATTGATGGGATGGACAGTGGGAGGGAATCATGAGGGAACCATCCAGATCCCTCGTCATCATTCTCTCAAGGCGGGCGATGGTGCCGTCACATCGCTCGGTTTCTCAACTAGGCGTTGGTACCCACCGCTATCATTAGAGAAACTGTCAGCTGAAAAGCCGTCTGCTTGGGAGTGCGCGGCGCGCATTTTAAGGTCGAATATGGCGACGCAACCGTGCGTCCACCCATAGTAATGGCGGATATGGCGACGACAGGTGCGGGTGGCAGGCGAAAACGGTGCGAGGAAGCGAGGATGCGAGTCGCGCTCCTCGGCTAATGGATGGCAAGATCTCCTTGCGTCGCAAAACTAGGGCATCGCCTTCGCCATGACTACGCATCGCGGAACCTACCAGTACGAATAATGAATAGACACATGTGGTGGCGTACATCCCAAAACATTGAGGGACTCGTACTATGTAGGTATAGGTTTTTCTACATTCAATTTACTCTGTATACCTCTGTAACTGCAATGTAGAAAAACCTATAGGTACATAGTATGAGGGTCAAACAGTTTTGGGATGTAAGTTTCTTGATTCATTATACTATTACTAGTAATGAGAATGGAGACACGAGATTCCGCAAATGCTTTCTATCGATATTGTACATAGATACATCTTTTTCAGTTTTAAATGAAAGAAAAACGGAAAACGCAGCCTCAAGAACACCCCAGTAGAACAGCACATAAGGAACCCCAAAAGACACCCCAACGAGATACCCCCAACGAGACACCCCAACGAGACACCCCAACGAGACACCCCAACAATACGCCCCATCTAACCAAACCCCCCACCCCCCTCACCTAAACCCACCCTCTAAACCCGCATGTCCACCAAATAGGGGGCGCATCCGCCCACGGAGCATCCCATCCCATCTCCTCCTCAAAATCCTCCCGCTCCACCGAAACAGCCTCTGGGCCTCTCATCATCGACGCCGCGCGCAACAAGATCACACACGCTTGAGCCCGCTGCAAAGCCACACCTATGGCCGCTTTAAGTGATCCAAGCAAGTAAGCCGAGAAACCTTTCCCCGTAGCTCTCGCCGCCCCTTTCG